AGTAGAAAGGATAATAATAAGCGTCCGTGACTTGAGATTTGGGAAACATTGACAGTTAAGGAGATTAAAAAGTTTTGTATGTGTTTTAAGGATAAAACAGTGTGAAAGTCAACTTAGTAAAATCAAAAAAGTCTGACCTGGGAGCCCAAAGTCCTGGGTTTCTATCTCAGTTTTATAATCAATCATACCACCATAGACAAGACACAGCCCCTCTAAGTTTCACTGTTGATAAAGCAAGCAAGTTGATTGAGATTGATAGTTTTCAAACTACACATCATCATGATCCACTGAAAGCAATTTAAAGTTTCAGTCTAGCATTTGTTATTTAAAGAAAAATAAACAGAATAGCAAATATTAACATATTGTTCACAGGATGTTGCTTTGTGAAACTTTTCAGTTCTATGCATCTATGTGCATATGTGGCTGTGTGTATCAAGCTCTGATACCTTTTTTTTTCTTTTTAAGAGGTACCATCTCCGTTTGTTGCCCAAGCTAGAGTGTAATGGTACAATCATAGCTTACTGCAGCTTCACATGTGCTCAAGCTGTCTTCTCACTTCAACCTCCTTAGTAGCTGGAACTGTAGGCGGTGTCACCACACCTGGCTTATATGTAATTTTTTTTTTTTTTAAATGTAGAGGCTGGTCTCAAACTCCTGACCTCAAGTGATCTCCTTCCTAGGCCTCCCCAAAACGCTGGGATTATAGGCGTGAGCCACCATTCCCAACCTGTTATTTGCTTTGGTTTGTTCCCAGTGGAACATTTAGAAACACTGGATTAGAAGACCTATAAAATCTTACTCAGATCATTGCTTATATGATTTTTATAATTGTATAAGCAGATTAGGTTTAAGAAAACATTTAAAATGTCTTTTACTCTCTAAAACCATAGTTTTTTAATTGGGAAGTTAAAGATTATGTATGAATCTTTGAAAAACGGGAAACTGGATGGGAAAGAAAAAAATTACTTAAAATTTTATTCATCTTTCAAAAATATAAGTGACAGGAGTAGCTTCAGAGAGGTTTTCAGAATCAGAGAGCCTTATGTAATACCAAAGTATTATGCAGATTATGAAAATAATAGTTTTTGTTCTCCAGTTACTCAGTAAATATATGAGCTTAGATGATTTCTGAGGATGTTAATACTCTACCTCATAAATAGGAGAAAATGCTTGTTTTGGTGGCAAAAGTTTTAGAAAATTTGGGATATTACACAAATTAAGGCATTATCACTCTTAATTTACCTTTTATTGATGGTTGTATGTGTTCCTCTGTAACTTTTCACTTTTAAAAGAGATGATAAAATGTGTTTTATTACTCCAATTTGATTATTTTTGCATGTGTAAATTAACCTGTTTTAGTGAAATGATAATGAGTATTTGCAAACTGAATCTAAATTTCGTTTCACATCACACGAATGGCTCAAACATATTTTTAAGGTATGTGATCGTGGAATGTGAAGATCAAGATACCCAGCAGAGGGATCCAAAGACCCATGAGATGTACTTGAATGTAATGAGAAGATTTAGCCAAGCGTTGTTGAAGGTAACCATTAAATGTGGGGGTTGGCAAACTGCAGTGCGTGGGCCAAATTCAGCCTGTTGCTTGTTTTGGAACATCCCATGAGCTAAAAGTGGTTTTATATATTTTTTTATTTTTATTTTTTTGAGACGGAATCTTGCTGTCTTACCCAGGCTGGAGTACAGTCATGCCATCTCGGCTCACTGCAGCCGCCACCTCCCGGGTTCAAGAGATTCTCCTGCCTCAGCCTCCTGAGTAGCTGGGATTAAAGGCGCCCACTACCATGTCCAGCTAATTTTTGTATTTTTAGTAGAGACAGGGTTTCGCCATGTTGGGCCAGGCTATTCTGGAACTCCTGACCTCAGGTGATCCACTTGCCTCGGCCTCCCAAAGTACCAGCATTACAGATATGAGCCACTGCACCCGACCTGGTTTTTATATTTTTAAATGATTGAAAACCAATCAAAAGAAGAAAAATAATTGGTGATATATGAAAATTATGTGAATTCAAGTTTTAGTCTTCATAAATAAATTATTGGAATAGAATCATGAACTCATTTGATTTTATATTGTCTGTGGCTACTTTTATACTCAATAGGAGTTTAATAGTTGGAATGAAAACTGCGTGGCCAAGAAGACCTAAAATATGTTATCTTTGACCCTTTACAGAAGTTTTCTTGATCCCTAATTTAATGAAATAAACCTGTACATGGAGTTAAAAAAGAAAGAGCTTTGCTTTTTTATTTTCCTTTCTATTGTGTATCTTTCTTATCAAAGCTGTGTAT